GAAGTGGAAACAATTCAACGTAAGTTGAAAGTTTCCACCTGTTAACCATTAGTCTTGGAGCATGTTCTCTTGGGAGTTAATTTTCCCTTTCTTCCTACTTTTTCATTCACTCTTCCATTTTTACTCCAATTTTCTTTTTCCTTCTCTAAAGCATGGCCCTACTTGGATTCATATAAAATGAATAATTGTGATTGCCTTGGAAAACATATGTTATTACAGTACAATGTTTGGGAATGAGATTGAATTTCTTTTTACATTCATTTTCATTTTCCATATCCAAATGGACAAATTCGAGCTGCATATTTCCATTGACTTGATTTCTGGTTTGGTCCCTTGATCATTGATACTCCTTTCATCCTGAAAATACTGTCCCACTTTCTTTACATGGTTGTCCCGAAAATATTTTCTCACTTCCATTTCAGGTAAATTTAACAATGTAAATGTCCAAAATGCCCTTAATGTACCTACCCACCCCATATTACTCCCACACCACTCCTACCTGTCAAATCACATTTCCCGACTCTATTCCTTTCATTATCTCTTCTTCTTCTTCTAATAAGATTTCTCATCATTCTCTGCTACAATTTTTTATCTTCCACTGCTAACATTGTTTCTTCTTAATCTTCCAATCAATCGATTGACTCCTTCATCTTTGTCTTCTTCTATCACGGAAATGATGGAACAAATTCATCGAATCCGCCCTCAATCTCAAACGACATGGAGCCAATTCCTGGACTTCATCCAAAACAGATCCCACATGGAATTATCGGAAAAAGTTCGGAGATAATTGGATATGGGAAGACAGTAATGAAAACTACACAGATCTGGAAAGATGAAGGGGAAGAAGGGACCTCGAAGATGGAGGATACATCCTCGGTCCTCTGATGAAAAGTTCAACTTAAGAAAAAGTTTGCCACCAAGACATTCCATGCACAGTGGGATTGTGACTGGAGGGCGATATCCTGTACATCCTCTTCTCCTTTGCATGTATAGAGTGGTTAGTGTGCTAGCTTGTGCTTGAGGTGGGTGGCACTGATGATGACTTTTGGGCTTGTTTGCGGTTGCTGGTTTGTCCAATCTAATGGTATGGATCCCTAATTGAATATTAAGCTGATTTAAAATCAGATTGTTACACTTCGTTCATGAGCATTATTTGCTGTTTTTGTTGCCCAAATGATGACTGTGCCTAATGTGCCCGATTTAGGGGTTTTGCTGGTTTGTCCTTGTTAATGACCCTAATTGGATTTCAAAGTTTGGACTCAAATTACTAAACTTGATTCAGGGGCCAAATTTGCTGTTTTTTGGTTGCCCCAACTAAAACTATTCCTAATGTGCCTGATTTTGAGATTATTTCTGGTTGCTGGTTTGTCCAATGTTATGATTCTGACCCTAATTGAATTTTAAACTGAATTAAAAACAGGTTGCTACACATGGTTTATACGCCTTATTTGTTGTTTTTGTTGCCCCAATTGCTGGGTACACACAAGGAAGACCAAGTGCAATGTATTAAACAGAAAAATTCTACACCTGAAAGGTACATTTAGCACTTGTTCTTCATAGTCATGCTTTAGAGGCATTTAAAAAAACCAAAACAAACCTTGTGTGCACACTACTTTTCTGGGCGTACATAAAAAATTGTACTTAGCTCTATGGTGTGAACACACACATCAATAGCAAAAATAGATCTTCACACATACTGCATTCACACTAAGGCTCCATTAATTGTTCCTGCCATGTTTGCCCTGACATATTCCCTCGCATCTTCCACTACTTCTGCACTGATTGTTATACATTCTGGCAATTCCCCTTGTCTCTCTAATTTGTCCTTTCCAATATGTGGAAGCTTGAAATTGTTCCCTCCATTGTGTTTCTATACTGTTTCCATGACAGTTTGGTAGGTTATGAACACACTGTTTAATGTTTCTGGCCTGAGGTCTTCAAATCCAAGGTATTTAGCAATTCCAATAAAGACCTAGGAGCTTTTTTCTTTTTAAAGGTGTAGATAGCTTGAAAGAACCCTAGGTCCAGAACATTTAGATCAGGGCTATTGGGTGGTTGATAGCATAGCTCTATGCCTCTATATTCCATTCACCTTTTTTTGCAACACTTAGAAATTCAGGATCACATGGATCTATGAGTGGCCTTGCATTACCTTATTGAACGATGACATGTTTATTCTCAGAATCTGGCCACCTTCCCTGAATTGCTGGTAAAAATTTCTATATCAGCAAATCTCTAATCGCATCTTTTGCCATGTTTAAATTTGGCTTATCTCTAGAGTACCTGCAGCTCTGTTTTTTCTTTCTCTTTGCTTTCTCCAAAAATGTGAAAGGGAATACCCCTACTTTACCGCCCCACGGTAACACCCAATCCGCGCCAAACTTTGGCCTACCGACAACGGCCAAAAACATGATTTTGGGAATGAAGTTTTTGGATTGGCTTTTCCGGTAAGGGTCTGTCTCAGTTCGTTGGGTGTGGAATGTGGTTGTTTCCTTTGAAAGTTGAAACAACTTTTCATCAATACGAATGTGATCGTAAATGTCATGCAAAGTGTGCACTTGTGATATTATGTCATGCCTAACATGATCCAAACAAAATTGCAGGCTTATAAGCTTAGCTGCATCTGTGAGTGCAGGCTTGATAGCATTGCTGTGTCTTCTTATCTGCTTGCTTTGTGTCAAAGAACCAACTCAACCAAAAGCTCAAGCTTGTGGTTGTGGCCCAGGAATGATTGTTATATACTCTAACACGCCCCCTCACGTGCAGGCGTGACCTCTTTGAGCCTTGCACGTGAAATCTTAATTTTTTTAACTCGGTGGCGGTAAGTTTCGAACTCGTGACCTCTTGGTCATCAAGACTCCGATACCATGTCAAAGAACCAACTCAACCAAAAGCTCAAGCTTGTGGTTGTGGCCCAGGAATGATTGTTATATACTCTAACACTTTGAAACAACCTATGCACACTTGATTTTAATGTCTACATAGCGTAGCTCAATGCACAGAGGTTCTTTCTCATTATCTCATATGAAAAGGAATCTTAGCAATGACATCCTATTTAATTTTTTCCTTTTTCCTCCCTACCATAGTTATTTAAGGCGTAATGCGCACCAATGCACAAAGCACCACTAGTGTGTATATATATATATATATATATATATATAAAAGTTGCTGTGAAAGAAATGAGAATGAACTAGATCCATTAGATTTACTCCATCGTGCGGTCTCCAATATGCAACATAAAGGAATTTTTAAAAGGAAAGGGAAATTGTTATTGGGTTTGGTAAATGAGACATACACGTGGAAGGGCATTCAGGAAATGGAGAAGTACATTAAAAGGCGTAAAAGGTGCAGATCTTTAATATCCCGCCCCTTACGCATTTTGCCTTGAATAGAAGTCCTTTGCTTTCTTCCATAACCCTTTTCCTCCGCCGGCGCTGCATTCTTCAGAACTTCGTTCAGAGTGAAATTGGTAAGGCGCAGTGCACGCCGAAAGAAGAAGGAGACCTTGCGAAGGAGGAGGTTGTTAGAAGTTGCATTATGAGACATGACTACTGCAGGGGATTCAACGGTAGGAGTGGAAGGTATGCGTTTATAATTTCGAAAGGGTCTCTTTGAATTGGGGTTTTGTTTTTATTGCATGTCGTTGGTAAATGCATCTTCGACATTCTTCTATGCAAATTTTGGATGCATCTGTAGTTACTTTTTCTGTATTGCATTAAGGTTTGGTTTTGACATATGAAGTGCAGTGGTGATGTGCTTCATTTTATATAAAAAGTGTAATAGTCTTGTCTTTCATGGAACAGATATTTGAATTTGGGGTTAGGGATTTGTTCTGGGAAAAAAATATGATTTTGGGTATGAGTATATATGTGTTCTAGCATTGTACTGATTTTTATGCTCATGTGAAGAATTGATTTTTAAATGCGAAGAATATGCAAGTAATATGTGTTGGTGGGCCCTCTTTGTTGCATATTAATGCACAATTGTTTTAATTTGATTAATTACCTGACATGGGGGCTGGACATTGTAGTTGTACTGCAATTGTTCTCAGAATGGATATTAGTTTCATTAGGCTTTTTGGTTGATGCATGATGTGTTTTTTATTGTATGGTATTACATTGCACTTGTAATTCTGTAGTGTATTGTTATGATTTGGTGCATCTGTGTGTGTAAGGATTATATGGAAGTCATTTTGTTTATATTTCTGGTGTATTTAATTTTTAGCATGTTGTATTTTAACAATGTTTTTTTGGTAATTGTGCAGCTTGATATGTTGGTAGATGTGTTAGTTGTTTTTGAAGTATGCAATGTTGTCATACGATTGTTGTATCGCTTTAAAAGAACAAAGAATAGTGCCAGTGTATATCATTAACAGTTATGGTTCATTTTAGTGAAGTGTTATTGCATCTTTTGAAGTTAGTAGACAAACATCATAATGTAGTGTAATTGCATGTTTTGGAGATGTGTTAGTTCTTTTTTGTAGTGTGCATACTGGTCAGGCATTATTTCTTTTCTCTGAAATGAATAAGTAACAGAGAGATGTACATGAGACTGCCCTGACACTGCATTAGATTTCATGTGCTGATGCATAGGAACAAGAATCGCATGCATGTTAATTATTCTCAACTGCTTGTTTAACTTCATAGTTATGGTACATTGTAGTATAGCTAAATTGCATGTTAAGCAGAAAGTTTAGCATTAGGTTATGTAGCTATTTTTCTGATTTGTTTAAAAGTAGCTTGTTTAATATGGTAGCATATTGTGTTGAATTTCACAAAAAATAACATTGTCATATAGCCTTCAGTTGGAGGGGGGATTTAATGCATATGGATTCCATGTTTAGTTGTTGGTAACTTTGTTGGAAATTTAAAGAGATAAGTGTGTAATACTTAATCTTTCATGTGAAATGTAGGCTCACCACAGTCAAATGCGCGTGCTGGTGGTGTGTTTGTCTTGAAAAGGAAACCCGGAGTTATTGAAAGTGCATCTCCCGTGCGTAGAAGTGGTAGGCTCATGCTGGAACAGCTTAAGAAGAGACCAAAGCGGGATGCTGAACATGTAGATTTAAGTGAAGAAAAAGATGATGGGTCCCAAGATGGTGATGATGTGGAGAAAGAGGCTAAAGATGCCGATGAGGATATGGATTGTGCTGGAAATGATGATGAAGATTCTGAGAATGAGGGTGATAGTTCTGATAGTGACGATGATTTTGAGGATCCCTCAAAGAAGAATATCAGTGTGGAAATCCCTCAACCTGTGAATTCAAAAGCTGCAACAGTGGTGAAGAAAAAGGACGGGCTTCGGAAGATGAAGGAAAAGTATGTGTGGATAAAGACGAGATCTTCACCACATGTGTTGCAGGGAGTGTTGGATCATGGATGCTCTGAATAACATCCAAAAGCAGGAGATAGAAAAGATTGGTTTCGGTTCTATTTTAAGGGAGCAGTTGACAGAGCAGCCTGCCAAATTGGGGTATTGGGTGGTAAATAATTTTAATCCAAGGAGCAGCACACTTGAGCTTCCAAAGCACGTCAGAGTGCATATCAGCGTAGAAGATGTTGAGCATGTGATGGGCTTGCCGAGGGGAAATATAAAGATAAGTAACAAAGAAAGGAGTGAGAAATGTTGCTTGGTTGAGGAGTGGAGAGAAGAATTTGGCAAGAAGGATAATAGGATAACCCCGTTGGTCAGAAGCTGTTGACATACAAGGAGGGTGGGGTGTGGTTTGTTCGCTTTGTAATATAATTGTCAGGAATAGTGGGACATCCCATTGCTATAAGAACAACAAATATATGCCTACAGAGAAGCCCAACACGCTGATAATTCTTGCATGAACACGATGCGTATGACTTATCCGCGGAGTAAATTATTGAGAACGTCATACCTCTATTGTCCTTTATAGTGTAATGCAGTTTATCCTCGGTGTTCTCAACATGTGTGCTAAAACACGAGAAACAAGCAGCACAAATCTCTTTTTGCACATCATAAAATACTGACAACATATATATGGAAGCGGCATGCCTCTCAATTGGCAACGGAGTCTTGAACACTGGAATGCAAGATTTGGAATCTGCATTTAACATAGCATTCCTGTGGCGTTGTGCATCCATGGCACTTTCAAACTGCATCGAGAACTCTACAAGACTGAAATGGGGGTTAGAGAATTCCCCAAAGAAGTTGTTCTCACTCTCAGATTGTGAAGTTGTTCGTAGTAAACCAGCCATGAATAAGTCCCTAAAATATGGAGGGATCCATGTTTGGCGAATTTTAAACAACTTAGCAAACCATTTGTGATTCACCAGATTGTAATTACGCATTACCTCATTCCACTTGTGCTCAAATTCGCATGGGTCAAGATAATGGCTCCAAATAACTTCATTCAATTGTGTGAGAAAGACAGAATCCTTGTTTAGCGGTTCCCCCACTTTTTTCCTACTCTTTTAGTAATATGCCACATGCAATACCGGTGTGTTGTCTGTGGGAAAACTTCGCTGATAGCAGTCTTCAATGACGGATCTTGGTCTGTTATGATGCATTGTGGATCATGGTCCATTGCATCCTGAAATTGGCGTAAGACCCAAGTATAGGATTCTATGTCTTCGTTGCAGAGTAAACCAGCTCCAAATGTAACACACTTATGGTGATTATCGATGCCTGTGAATGGAGTGAACACCATGTTGTACCTATCGTTTTAAAAAGCAAAGTGTGGTTGCATTAAAATGATATTCAAATGAGCATTGTCATAAAATGATTGGTGTTACAAAAAAGGAATACATGTAAGCACACCTGTTAGTCTCATACGTAGCGTCAAAAGAGAGAACGTCACCAAACAGAGCCCAATTTTTCCTAGCAACGGGATCGCACCAAAATAATCAGGTAAGTTGGTCCGTTTCATCAACATCATATGCAAAACGAAATGCAGGACATGTTTCTTGTCTTCGAAACATTTTGTCGATGATCATTTGTGCATCTCCACCCGCAACATATGCCTTAAGGTCTCGTTTGAAGTTCTTGAAATCAATTGCTGTGGCGCCTATGTTATTATAACCGCCAACTGACTCCTTAAACAACCAAAATGATTTCATTGTGCCGATATTTGCTTTGACACAATTCAACATGAATTTTTTGTGTCCAATGTCAATATTCCGATTGATTTTCAAAAAAGGTCTCGAGAATGATGAGAGCATCGGGTGATTGTGGTGTTCCTCGAAGGACGTGATTTTGTATCCAACACTACCACATAATCTGAAAATTACACGCGCTCTACAGCGAGTGCGGTTGGAAACACGACGCCGAATTCTATTCTTACCATTTGGGGTGGTCTCGGCCTTATTCGGAGCGTTACTGGAGAGCTGAGCAGCATGTTTATGACCTTCACGACTGCATAAAATATATTTCCATACATTTACACCATCTGGAGACTTTGTAGACGTACCCATGCGGATGTCAAAACCTGCCAACAGCGTGTAGTTCTTGTAGAACGAAATACCATCTTCAAGCTTCTCAAAAACCATTCCCACTTTGGGCTTGAAGCTGCTGGGCATTCTGGGATGCAGATATTTAGATCAAAAAATGATATTTCTTCGGAAAATAGAGGAGGGGAAAGATCTATCACATTTTCTTCCACTAATGTATTCGTATTTCCCCCTAGGCATAAAAAATAAAAATTTCAACAACAAAAAATAGGAGTTAAAAATGAAAAATAGACCGACATTTCATATACTACAAGTGCAGATCTGTTCGTAAAAATATTTTCCAAAAAATTATTATACAGAATCCAGAAAATTGAATTGTTCGGCTTGTACCTGCGTCCATGGCTGAAGGCTCCGTCATTGCAGCGAAGACTCAACGGTGTACTGATCAAGGGATTATGAAAGCCCTCTTTTCCGTCGGATACAATATAGGAAGTATTATTAATGAAATCCATACCTAAAAGGAAACGGAAATCTGGAAGATAGAATGGAAGGATAAATTCGGCGAGAAAAATCAGGGAAGTGGCGAAATGTCCGGCTGTTGAATCGTAAAGGTTGTAGAAGGAAGGAGATCTGGAAATACTTTTATGCCCCTCAGCGGAAGTGGTGATCTTAGATGCGCAGATGAAGATCCGATGGTGTGTATTTATTCCTACTTCTTTCATTAGATTCTATTCTCATTTGAACCAACTTCTATATATATATATATATATATATATATATATATATATATATATATATATATATATATATATATATATATATATAGGGAGCGTCTAAAATGACACCAGTTACTTAAACACCAGTTTGTTTGGGGTACCTATGGTGCTCCGTTTGTAAAAATGACGGTTCCTACCCCCCAT